AAAAATGATGTTTTGACAAATAAAATTTTATGTGATGTATGACGGTAAGCTAAGGTGTTAACACTCGATGCTAGGCCGCTATTGTTATTTGATATTGTGATGATTATTATTGATGTTGTTTATGATTAGACTTTGATGAATATTATTATTAAAATAATAATTACGAATGATTAAATCATGTTTAGAAAAAATGAATATATTGATGATTATAAAAATGATTTGTATTGTTAAGGATATCTAGAAGAACTCTAAGATATACCTCCTTGACCAATTTATAATTCGGGGTTAAAACGTACGTACGGGATCCAGACCGGATATCACCCACCCGAGAGATCACTGTTCGGTTGGTACGTAATCCACGTGACTCATAGGGTGGATTATCGATTCTTGTGTTCTGCATTAAACTATTTATAGTTTAAGGGCCTGGTTAGAAATATTGCCTTAGACTAGAAATAGCTAAGAGCTTGTATAAAAATGATTTGGCCTTAGATTAAGAATAATTTAAGAGCACTGATGAAATATTTTGAATATTGAATATATCATGAAATGACTTAAAATAAAATATTATGAATAATGTAAGCTTGAAATATGTATTGTGTGCATGATATCAAATGGTTAATTATGAATTGAGATTCAATTTATATGGATGTTCGATGCATTAGATATGCTTACTCAGCTTCAACGCTGAGCGTGTAGTATGTTTTATTTGCTACACGCAGGTAAACAAAAATAATGATGTGATGGAATCCTGGCGGCAGACGGAGCGAGATGGTCAAAGTGGATGTGTAAAATGAATTAAAGTTTAAAAAGACATAATATTATTATGTTTTGTAATTGTTATTTATTCAGCTTCCGCAACATTAACTACCCTGTTATTATTCTGAATACTTTATTATGAAATAAAGTTTTAAAATGCTCGAAACCTTTTGAATGTTTACAAATACCAAGTTTATACTTTAGTCCGAAAGGGGCTGCAGACCTGGACAGATTGAGGTGTTACATTCTTATTATTATTATTATTATTAAATTAATAGATTAATTGTGTAAATTGAATGCATTTGTGTTACAATTTATAAGATGATAAATTGAGAATAATGAATTCTGACTGTGGAATAAGTCACCTAGTAATACTATATGGATGTGAATTGAATTGATTAGAATAATAGATTTTGAGGATTTAGGCCTAATGGGGCGAGCTTCACATAACTCAGAGGTCTTGGGTTAAAAACGTACGTACGGGAGTTCGGGACCTGTCTGGCAGTGTCAGGTAGGGGGCTCCAACCCGCCTCAGAGAAGTTCTTTGTGGTTTTGAGAGTGTCTGGATGTCCATGACTCTAGTCTCATGTGGTTAAACCTTAGCCTAGTAGGTTAAGAGTAAAAGAACAAATAAGCTCTGAAGTGAAATAAATAAATAGTTCATCATGACGTTCAATAATGATATTTGTTGATTCTTCAAATATTGTGAGATTATATATTGATGGATGCTAGTTTATGAATTAGTTCTAGCGTTAGATATTTCCACGCACCCTATTTTTACAGGTAGGGATCAACGATTGGATGAGAAGCAGCCTAGAAACAGTGAAGTGTGACACTGGTGGATGGCCCGAAGTTGTTTGAAATTGAGTTAAATGCTTGTTGACTTTATTTTGTTTAAACTACAAGAATGTTTGATGATTTTGCTTTAAAGTCTTCGACAACGTTTGTTTTATTTACCCCAATTAAGCTATGAATTGTTTTAAAATAAATATGAATGAATGTCATACTTTAAATATTTTTAAAATATTGTGCATGTGAATCACAAATTAGTAGTCAATCTGATTTACTAACTCGTTGGTTAGGGTTATGCGGGTTGGGATGTTATAGTTTGGTTATTTATAGGGATGGATTAAGAGCTGTTTTGTTTGAAAAATAGTTGTTATAAAAGAGTAATTAACTCCTAATACCATAATTAAGGGAATCAAAGCATTGGGGTAAAAAAATCAAGGAATGGTGAAATCTAGTCTATGAACGGTCCATCACATCGACTGTTTTAAGTGAAATGGTTGGCCGTTTCGAGTAACAGTCAGGTTCCACCCAACGGTTAATCAAACAGTCGACCGTTCAGGAGAAACGATTCAATGGGTGGATCGTCGTTTTCCGAGCACCCAATCTTCCCAACGGTTAGTGAAACGGTCGACCGTTCTGTAGAAATGGTTCAACCTTTGGACCGTCGTATACGGCGTTGGGAAGATTACAACGGTTGACAGTAGAAGTGCGGTAACAGTGTGCCTATTTATTTCTTTTTTAATTGTAATTTATATTTGTTTTAAATTTTTTAAACGCTTCTATTTTGAACATATTTAAAATGTACTCCCTCCATACAAAAAGAATGGAATAGATACTTGATGGATACCCAATATTTTCCCAAGGACTGTAGATCGGCCTAGGTCCAAATATAGGTATCCGGGCCTTATAATATTGAAAGATAATACGAGAATAATAATTAATAGTAATAGAAGCACTGCTCACTAAATAATAACTCAAATCGGCGGTCCTCTCCTTTATTCGGTCCTTTTAGGAACGGAATATGCTTGAGGATCGCCAGAATATCTTTTATTATTTACTCACGTATTTTCTCTCCTCATTACAAGATATCCTCCATTCCCCAAGTCCCTCTTTCTTTTATAGGCACTCCCCATCCATTATCCTCTTCAATAATGGCAGTGATTGGGGGAATATTCGTGCCAGCCTTCCTCCATCTGGGGGGATGTATCTCAGCTTGAGGCCGTCCACTGGAGGACAAGCCTGCCCGTCCATCTCTTGCTCCCTGTCCGTCCCTTTCTTCTTGTCCTTGTCCCTTCAATTAGGGGGGACTGCTCTAGACTCTTCCATACGATTTCTTTCCTTTTGGGGTAGCTTATTCTTAGTGGGCTGGGCTTCAGCCCATTCTTAAGCCCCCAATCCTTTTCCTTTTTCCTATCTTTTCTCACGGATAACTTCCTTTGACTGGCCCAATATATTTTCTCTGGGTCGGACACTCCTTTTGATTGACGGAATCCGAATTGGGCCTGGGCCCAATTCGCTAGTATTCTCTCGATGGGCTTGGTTCCCATCAATACTATTTCGGTCTCTTGATAATTTTTGTTTGTTTACTCATTTTCGATGACTATTTGATAAAATAAAATATTTTTGTCGCATCTTGTTTTATAGAACTTTTGATATACTTTTGAGTGGTGCAATTTATACTTTTATTTTCCTATCAATTTGTGAATAAAATAATTTTAGAAAAGATGATATTTATGTACATTGTTCAAAATATGTTAAGCATTTTGGAATGGATGTAGTAGATGAGTGCTTCTTTGATGCATATCAATTTTGTGGGTTTTCTCATACACACAAAAATCTTTTTAAATTAAAAAACAAGTGATTATTTAAGTAATAGATAAATATTTATTTTGCTCATATGTAAGTTCATGATGGATCTTAGATCCACTATAAAATTTACCAATAGTAGATTGAAAAATGCTCTGAGATACAAAATGAGGTACAAATATCAGGTACATGTAGGATGCTCCTAGTAGATTAGTTGACCATAAAATTGGGTGAGGTGCACCTAGAGATTCCCTAGTTGTTGACGTTGTTGTGCTGATACGCCGTTTTATTTGTAGCAACAAAAACGTTTCTTTCATTTAATGACTTATCATCCTTATCTTCGAAAAAACCCGACCCGTTATATCTGTGCTGGAGTGCTGATCCTTTGCTTTATCCTCTACTTCAGATACTCTCCTGCTGCTGTCTACCCCTATTCATCATCTCTCCTCAAAGTTTTCGAATTAAAAATGGCGGAACCAAAGATCTTTGATCTCGACAATGGCACCATGCGTGTCAGAGTCTCCAATTTTGGGTGCACAATTCTCTCCTTGTCTGTCCCAGATAAAGACGGTATCTCTATTTATTTGTTTTTTTAAAATATGAATCTGTTCAGATGACTTTTTTTTTTCATTTTTCTGGTTTCTGAAAGACATAATGTTCATTTGATTCCTTGTTGGAATGGATTTTGAAGGGAAAATGGATGATGTGGTTCTTGGATTTGACACGCTTGAACCCTACATGGTGAGTCAGCGAGCGGCGATTTTCATATTGTCAATTTCTCAAGAATCCATTTGATTTGATTCTGTTACTTGTTTTTCATTGTTATGAGCATTCATGAGAGAATGGGTTTTGATTTGCTGCTTGATGATCATCAGATTAATAATATGGCCTTTTATTTGATTTGATTTTTGTTTGCTTTTTTTTTTCTTCAGAAAGGAGCTGCCCCTTACTTTGGCTGCATTGTTGGCCGGGTGGCCAACAGAATCAAAGATGGGAAGTTTACTATTAACGGGGTTGAATATTCTCTTCCAATTAACAAGCCACCAAATAGTCTTCATGGTACTAATATCTCTGCAATCTCTAAGGCTATGCTAGGCGAACCACATTTTGGTTAGCTATAGCATGATGCCATTTTTTCAGTATTTTCACTTAAAAAATAACCCTTTTTGCCTGTCAATCTTATTTAAAGTGTTTCATAAATTAGCATTTTGAATTTGCAAAAAGCCTAGCTAATTGGATTTGAAAATGCTGATATAGTCAACATTTTGAAAAAAAAATCATTTTGGACTTAGCTTTTTAGATTTAGTTTCTAGCCTTTCTATTACGTTACCAAACTTCTTCTTATAAGTTGTTAGTCAAATATTCTAATACAAAATGTGAACTGCGATGTGCTATAGTTAACTGCTGACTGTTGTTTGCTAATCAAACTCTTAGTATTTTCCCTTAAAATCGTTCGCTGTGCTCTTATGAGTAGGCCTTCATGATTGATTTTTTGTTTAGAGGGGACATTGGAGGGATAGGGAAGTTATTATATTACTCTGTAGTTAGTATGTAGAGTAACATGCCTGACCTCATGTCTTCCAGCAAAAGAGCTGGAAACGGCGAGCTTTTGGGGGATGCAGATCATATAGATATATAGTAGTTAAGACTCCGGGTTGCCATTTTTACCAAATGGACATTGTGCGGAGGAATTTACGATGTTGATAGTAGTTTAAAGTCAAGTATTTGAAATTAGACTGTCTAATGGTCAAAGAAGGAAGAGGGATTTAAGAGTGGAAAGCAGGTTTTGTAAGAATATTTTGGATTATGACTTCTTGAAATTTAAAGTTTGGAATACAGAGCTAGTTCTATTTGAAATCAGACTTAAGATTTCTTAGCAATCGTTAAAACTACCTCTTTAAGAGTTACGGAGTATAGGGTTAAAAACTTTTGTAACTTCCAAATCTATGCAGCATATGTCTGTACCTCAGTTTTAAAGCTTATTCATTGTTTGGGATCACTCACTAGAGTACCCTATAGAACATATGAGATGTTATGAAGTGCATTATTTTAAATTCGACATAAATGCCAAACTTTTTTTTTGAAATAATTATTCGTGGGTATGGCATTTGAATGTGTGTGCTTATGCTGGAGCTTGGAGTGAACTTTTTCTCTGAGACATGGGTGTTTTCATCACTATTCTTGTGATGTAACCTCATTCATCATTTGTTCAAATTGCCTATGCATTCATGTTAGTACTACAACTATTACAAGACGACATTTCTTGTGATTACCATATTTGTCCTTGTGTTTATCTGAATTGTGTCTGAGGAATGCACATTCACGTGTTTTCTTCACTTAATTTGCTCCAAAATCACTAGAGGAATAAAATAAAGGATGGAGGTAGTTAAATAGGAGTTTCACTTTTTTAAAATAAAAACTATCTGTTGAAGGCGGACACAAGGGGTATGACAAGGTCTTATGGGAGGTAGCTGAACAGAAGCATGGTGACACTCCATCAATTACCTTTACATATCATAGCCATGATGGTGAGGAAGGTAGTTCACTTTTCCTTTCTTTTGTGAATGTATTTATTACTCCCTCCTTTTGAAAATAAAATTCCACCATTTTTTGTTCATCTCACAAAACAACATACCCCCAAAATAACTTCTACCTGCAATAATGAGAATTGGGGTGTATTTTAGACATTTTAAACGGAGGGAGTTAAAAAAAGTTCATTGACAATGCTCAGGGCTAGATGTAAAAGATTTCATCTTTCCATTGAAAACAGGTTACCCTGGAGATCTCTTAGTCACTGCAACGTACACACTCACTTCAAAGACAACATTGAGACTTGACATGGTAGCAGTCCCCGGAAATAAGGCTACTCCTGTCAGCCTAGCTCAACACACATACTGGAACCTTGCTGGCCACAATTCTGGGGACGTCCTCGAACACACTGCCCAGATATGGGCAAACCATGTCACCCCTGTGGATCAAAACACCATCCCTACAGGTGAAATATTGCCGGTCAAAGACACCCCGTTTGACTTTACAGCCGAAAAGAAGATTGGCCGCGACATACAGCAGGTGGGCTTAGGGTATGACCACAACTACGTGCTCGACTGTGGAGATGAGAAGGAGGGTAAGTTGAGACGCGCGGCCAGGATCAAAGATCCCAAGAGCTCAAGAGTCCTTAACCTGTGGACCAATGCACCTGGCATGCAGTTCTATACTGCTAACTACGTGAATGGAATTGTTGGTAAAGATGGGGCTGTGTATAATAAGCATGGGGGGGTATGTTTAGAGACACAGGGTTTCCCAAATGCAATCAACACGCCAAATTTCCCATCCGTTGTGGTTCAACCCGGGGAGGAGTACAAGCACACCATGGTGTATGAGTTTTCAGCAGAGTAATTAAGATGGAGTTTCTTTGTTTTTTATCGAAGTAAATATGAGAGAAGAATAATAATGCGACTCCCATTATAAGCACTATATGGGCTTATAATTGATTCTGTTTAGGAGTACGTACATGATGTTTGAGTGAGTGATTAAATTGTAGTGGTGTTCCCGGATAGTTGTGCAATGCTATTAAGTTTGGGATCAAATATTCACCCATGGTATACGAACTTTCATCATTATTTCACTTCGGCATATTAACTTTAATTCTTATCACAAAAATACACGAGCTTTCAACATTCTTTCACTGGTGGTCCAATAAGCGGTTTCTAAGTCACCTTCAGGTCGTTTGGGGTCAAATCATAATTTTATAAATTTAAATTTTATGATTTTGATCTCTTTTCTTTATTCTCTTGGTTCTCCACCCTTTTTCTTCATCTTCTTCAAGACCCCCCACCCTCCCTCTCCATTTTTTTCTTCTCTTTCTCTTCCAGCCCCACCCCCACCCGCACCATTTTTTCTTTCTTCCCCTNTTTTGATATTATTATTATTATTATTGTTGTTGTTGTTGTTGTTGTTGTTGTTATTGATAATAATAATAATAATAATAATAATAGTAATAATAATAATATTTACAATATCAATAATAATAAAAGAAGGAAAAAAGGGGAGGGCTGGGCTGGATCGAAAGAAAAAACGGGGAGAAGAAGAAAAGAAGAAAGAAAAAAATTGGGTTGTGGGGGCTAGAAGAAGAGGGGAAGAAGAGAAAAAATGGTGCGGGTGGGGTGAGGGTAGGGGTGGACACGGTACGGTTCCAGGCCGGTTCCGGTTTCGGAACCGCCGGTTTCGGTACCGCCACCCCTAGGTACCGGTACCGTGATCGGACCGGGCGGTACCGGTTTCGGTACCCGGACCGGCGGTTCCGGTACCGGACCGGCCGGTTTCGGCCACCCCCAATTATTATTTTTTTGGCTTTTTTTAGAATTTTTAAAGTGTAAAATTGTAAATTTGCAATTGTTAAAGAAAAGATTGAAATAAAAAATCTAAAAATGTAGTTGTTATTTAAATACTGTAAAATGAGTAATACACGAACTAAAGAACAACTACATTTAATATTCTGACAGTTCAAAAAAAGCGACGAGGTAAAGAACCGTAAAGAAACCCTCGAAGGAGCTTATATACCGCTCACCTAAAAAAACTAATTACATATTTAAATTAACATAAAAAATGTTTATAACTTATTCCTCAGAACTCGGACTTCCATCTGTGGTTGCATTCATGTAATGCTCCGAATTGAATTCGTACCCTGACTCTTGAGCTCGACGTCTTGCCAAGAGTCAATCTTGGTTGCAAACACGTGTTTCAAGAGATTCAGCGTTAAGACAACTTCGAAAGTTGGTTAGAATGTTGCCGCTAGCACTGAATTCTCGTTCCACAGCTACGGTTAATACCAGGACGGACAACACTTGTCTTGCTAGCTTTCCAAGACATGGGAACATGTGTTCGTTCCGCTTCCACCATCCGAGGACGTAAAACTCCACGTCGTCCTCGTCGTAATCGCATGGCACCTCTTGGTACATAGCAAGTTCGTTGTGCGAGTTTACTATTGTACCACTTGAACTCGTCGAAGGCTGAGCACGCTTCCCTTTCTTTGCAAGAAGCCCACCGGCTATTCCTTTAAAACCTTTTTATGATTTGGGGGCGGAGGAGGTGTTGTTTATTCTGGTACAGTACCGTATAACCCTTGATATTCCTTAAACAAATCCTCAAAAAGAGTTATAGCATTATCTCTTTCATTTTTCCATTCTATTAAATGACTGTAGTAATAACTATTTTCATCTAAAAAACAAATGTAGTAATAGTCAATTAGAATTTTAAAATTTTCAATCTTAAAGCGTAGATCACAAATAATACCTATTTTATAAATATTGGGAATGTACAAATAATAAGCACACCATTTATCTCTCATAGGAGAGACATAAGGGTACAAATCTGGATCAGCCAAACTCTCACGAAAACATGTTGCGATTGTAACGCACTCTTTAAAAAATGTATTTGTAGTTGGTTGGTAAACTATAATATTAGTAATAAACTAAAAATATATGATAATTGATAATATGAATAATGAATGTATTAATTATAGGTTATTATGTAATATATTAATATATATATTTATATTATTATATGAATATAAATTGTATAAAAATTGAAAAAAATAATAAGATTGAGAGATTGAGATAATGAGAGAATGAGAGATTAAGAGATGGATTGAGTATTTGAGTGTAAATTTTTTAAAAATTTTTTGGATAATTTATATAGGAATTCCCCCCCTCCCCTTCCCCCCCTCCCCCCTCCTCGACCTCAAACGGCTAAATAGCTGTTGAGGTGCCCCACGCCCCCACCCACTAACTTTTTTTTGTTTTGCAGGCTTTGCAGTTGCAGGTTTCCGTTTGGGAAGAAGCCAAGGAAAAAAAATTCAAACCAGTACCGGAACCGGTACCGGTACCGGCGGTGCCGGTGCTGAAAATTTGGAACCGGAACCGGTACCGAGGGGGGCGGTTCCGGTACCGGCGGAACATCCCGGCCGGCGGTACGGTGGCGGGTACCGGCGGTACCGTTGCCAGTCACGGTACCGTACCGGTACCGTGTCCACCCCTAGGTGAGGGTGGGGGTGGGGCTGGAAGAGGAAGAGAAGAAAAAAATGGGGACGGAGGGTGGGGGTCTTGAAGAAGATGAAGAAAAGGGTGGAGAACCAAGAGAAAAAAAGAAAAGGGATCAAAATTATAAAATTTAAATTTATAAAATTATGATTTGACCCCAAATGATCTGAAGGTGACTTAGAAACCGCCTATTGGATCACTGGTAAAAGAATGTTGAAAGTTAGTGTATTTTTGTGATAGGAATTAAAGTTTATATACCGAAATGAAATAATTATGAAAGTTCGTATACCATAGGTGAAATTTACCTCAAATATCATATATGTGTTTGCCGAACACAAATAGGGATCAAATATCATGTACTTCCTCCGTCCCAATTTAAATTACCTGTTTCGGTTTATGATGTTTGATTGGAGTTATTTTCAAATTATTTTATATATAAAAAACGGTATAAATTTAAAAATAAAAATTACATATTTAAAAAGTACATTAAAAGATCTACAAAATTAGTAGTGACATGACTATATTATTTTATCAAATGAATAACGAAGATAGTGAAAGAAAGAAAATAAAGTTTCATCCTGTGAATAGTAAACAGACAATTTAATTTGGGACAGAGGAAATATTTGTTAGTTTCATGTGGTGTCATCCCTCAGTATTGTGTTGCTTGAGTTTTATAACTCTGGTTGACATTATTTTTTGACAAATGAATAATTCTTAGATGTTGTCATAGTCTAGTAATTTTTGGTTAAGGCAAAGTTGTAGCATCTTGTGTGTCAAGACTGTCATCATGTTGTTGAGGTAGAGCTCTAGCATTTTGTCTCTCATCATGGTAAGGAATCTTACTCGATGAAGAAGTCTTGATGCTTGATGATGTTTACTTGTTATTGCAAGGAAGAAGTCTTACGCCTTTGGGAGTTTTGTGTCACAAGACTCAAAGAAGCAGCGCAAGTCGTGAGCTTTTTAGTTGGAGCGTCGGGCCTTAAGTGATTTGCTGCACACACTACAAAAAAAGAGGGCAATACTGATAGAGGTATATTTGTTGCTAAAGGTATAATATCTATGTGTACTGACTGACAGATAAAATAAATTGCCACTAAACATGACTAACAACGACAGATCATGGATGTCGTTAAAAAGAGGCTTGAGAGACATCAAAAATTGTCTGTCGGTAAAACATGTTCTACCGACAAAATAGTATGTTGGTAAAACCCTTTATTTGTCAGTAATATTATTGTTAGTACTTCATTATTTGTCGATATTTTGTCGCCCCCGCCGATGTTCTTTCCCTATTGCTGGTCACTTTCAGCTGTAACTAAAAATCTTGATTTTAAATATTTTCAAACGCCATCATTTCAAATTTCAAAGTTCATATCATTTCGAGCAAGTTTTTAATTTGGATCATATATATAAATTGTCTAAAACTCACTAAAGAGTAAAGAGATTCTTAAAACCCGGTTGAAGAATTTTGAAAGCATCATCTGATGTTGATTCTGAAATGTAAAATAAAGTTGTATGGAGAGATTTAAAATTATGATTTAATTAGTGATATGTGACAGAAATTGGCGATTGATATAGATATCAATTCCTTATATCAATATCATTTAAATTTCAGAGATATCGAAATTCTCCATTTGGAGAGTTTTTGGTGTTTGGAGATATCAAATTCAAATTTATTTTATGTTATATCAAAATCTAAATTTTTTATATCAATTGATATCTTTTGTGCTCGCCAAACACTCCCTCTGTCCAAATGTTATCTTCTGATTCACTTTTTATAGGGTCAAATTGTATTCACTTTCTTGACATGTTTTCAGTGCCATTTGATAAATTAATATAGTATTGTCACCTCCAATTTTATAGATACTAGTATCACACCCGTGCGTTGCACGGGTCGCAATTACGTTGTGAATTTACACTGGTATCATTATAAAAGGAAAAAAATACAACATATAATGAAATATATCATTTTTTTAGTATTGCAAAGTATCTATAAATTACAAATTTTGAAAAACCTCTTTATAAACTACATTAGTGGTCCATTTTGTTCCTCTGCGTTGCAAATAAGAATCTTCAAGCCATTACGATTTGTTACCCTTGAAACCGCAACATATAATTGTCCATAACTAAATACGGGTTTCCGTAACAATAATCCCACGTGTTTTAAAGATTGGCCTTGACTCTTATTAATTGTCATTGCATAAGAAGTAATGATTAAATATCATTTACGTGCAATAACGTTTAGAATATGATGTAAATGATAAGAACAAAACGGACTTATCAAATTCCTCACACTCAAACGTTGCTTGCCCTCAAGCAACAAATTGAATAATTACAAGTATGAAGGCAAATTAATAATTGCAGAGGCAAGGTTTAAGCTACATATTACGAAGGGAAGAAGAAATAAGATAGCCATCAACCTTTTTGTTAAGAGTAAATGAACCTTTAGATTCTCACCCATATTGTTAGAAATGTAAAAGAATTTTGTCAAACCAATATTTTTACACCAACCTAAACAACCAAAATTTTCCAAACTTTCTTCGGGATAACTACATTTGTAAGAGTACTTTACAGATCAAATAATTTTTTTAATAGCTAAATTGGAAGACATGTTCTTGCAAAAGTATTAATCAAAGTATAAGGGTTTAATTTTCTTTGGCATAACTTTGTCATGTTGACACAAGAAAAATTTATAACCTCATCCCGTGACATAGAACCCCGAGCTTTTTGGATATTCACTCTGAGAAGTCTCATCACACGACATAGAACCGCATGCTTTTTGACTCTAACACTCAAAAGGCCTCATCACGCAATATAGAACCACGTGCTTTTCGGTATACTCACCACGCCTCATCAGTTGACTTAGAACCAACTGTTTTTTGGCTAAAACAAGAATCTCGGTCTCACCAAAGTATGCTTTGAAACGTCACCCCTTATACTTTGAAAATAACTCTTTTCAAGGAACAACAGATACTCCTAAAAGCATGAGCAAAAAGATTTTCAATAAAGCACTTAAAAATTGATTGATCTTAAAAACTCTTAGTAAATTGTGAATTCGTCCCAAATCATTTTAGAAAACATTCCCAAAAGGTTAGAGTAAAAATAGAAGTTTGACAAAAATTTTAAAAATTTCCAATTTTTATGGGTGATAAGTAAAAATTAATTAATCAAGCACATAAAACTGATGACTATTTTATAAAACATTTTCCTTCAAACATATAGACAAAACAATTCCTAAAAAGATCATTTCAACCAGATACTCTCACCTCCTCACACTTAAACGGAACCACGCCCTCGTGGTTAAGAGTGTTTTTGAATTGAAGTTAATGGTTGAAATGCTCACATGCAATTACTAAGTTATCTCAATACTTACAAAATTCAACAATGAAGATTGAAATAATAGATAACCATAACATGTAAATATGAAATACTCCTTCCGCCCGGAAATATTCTTTCCATTTGACTTTTCTTGGTCAAAGTTTGTAAACTTTGACTATGATATGTGGAAAAAATACATTGTATTACAATATAAATTTAATATGAATATATTCATTTTGAAATATAGTTTTCAAATATCAAATTTTTATAAAAAATATCCATGTATAAATAAAGATATTAGTGGTCAAAGTGCAATCTTGGAGACCGTAAAAAGTCAAATGGGAAGAACATTTCCGGACGGAGGGAGTAATCCATAAAATTTTCTCAAATTGGTTTTAAGAGTCATGTTGTGAAATTCCAAAATAAAAATCAATCAAGCATCCAAATCATGTTCAAAATAGTAGAGAAAAAAAAAAGAGACTTAGGAAGTCAATATCCTCTCAGTAGCCAACTTCAACCAAGACTTTTGGAACAAGAAGCCTCGAAGGTTGCAGAAACCTTGTGTTTTCCCCAGGTGAGACCTCTTCTTCGCTCCCACTGTAAGGTATGCCCTACAATTCTCTCATCTGCAAAAGCAAAGACAACAAACAAAATAACTCTTGCCCCCAAAACTGGTGCGGCAAACATAACCTCAAAAACTAACAAATAAAACTATTGAATCTATTTAATTATTTTAGTTATTTGAATGACGGGTTGCCTCCCGTTAAGCGCTTCTTTAACGTCCATAGCTCGACGCTTACCCACTTTTTTCGTGACTTTCCAATCCGAGAGTCATAAAGTTTGGCCTTTCTGACTCTCTTCTGGTGCCACCTTGTTTGATTTGTTGCTCGGTCAAGGTCCAGGATCCTTGACTCATCCCTGCGGCTGGGTGGCAATAGGATATATGGAGGAGACTTTGTATAAGTGGGTGAGGGCGGAAGTCTCCTCAGTTGATCAACATCATTGGCTTTGATTGCGAAATTGATTCCTTCCTTATCTTCATTTGACTGACTATCCATTTGTGGTTTGATGATTATGATCGTACCCTCCCCCAAGGAAGAGTCCTTGTCGTCACTCACCAGAAGTTCATCCCAACTCTTTAAGTTCCAACCATCCTTCGGGAAGACATAGTCATACCCGTCAAGTAGGGATTCAAAGAAAGTATGGTCTGAATCATCAGATGAATCATTGGTTGCATAGGTTTCTATAGACGGAGTTGGTTTTCTTCATCTATAGGTTCCTCCTTAGACTCGTGGACATCGGAATCCTGGGGGCTTGTAGTGGGCTCTTTCTCCTCTAGAACAGGTTCCTCTGGAGGTGTGTCTTCAACACAACTAAGGAGGTGGTCGTTTATTGATATAGGCAAAACTTCCTCCTCCTTTTCTTGACTAAGCATAGGTGGTTCTGAGTCAGGTCCCTTAGTTGGTTCCACCTTTTGTACGGCTATGCTGGTTGTGACTTGGCTAGGAAGGGATTTAGGTAACATCACCACAGTAGCCCTAGCGAGAGTTGTTATGCTCTCGGGTTTCTGTGATGGTGTAAAACTGGGTGAATCTTCTAGAACTGGAACCTGTTGGTTGATGGGTTCAGGGTTGGTCTTAGGTTCTAGAGCCTCTTTTTAAACATGAATCTCCCTTATTTGAGATTGGAGGGAGCGTTTAAGTTCAACAGCCATACAGAGATCATTGACTAATTTATCGGCTTTAGACTCAGCTTCTAGTCTCTCTCTTTGAAAGCCGTACAGCATTTTCTGCATCATTTCTGATCCTTCGCATAATCTCCTTTCGAACTCCTTTTCCTTCCGGACTGATTTGAGAAGTTTTGCTCTTTCTCGAATTGCCACCTTGTTTGCTTCGATTTGTTCTTCAGCAAACAGGGTGTAGTCACGGCAGTAGGGTGGTTCGTACCAGGAGCCTTCAGCAAATAAGACTTCGTCGAAATAGAAAATTTTCTGTTCTAATCTTATGATCTCTTCGACAAGTGGATCAGATTGATCATCGTACATAGGCCCAAATTGGTCATAGTCATCTTGGTCACCATGAGGTTCATAATAATTATCCTCATCAGAATCTTGGTATGGAGAATATCCAAAGTTTCTAGACGGGGTATCACAAGGTGGTTCCTCATGGTAGGGATAGTAGTCAGACCCATTGTCGACTTGGTAGTCATCATCATTTGGGTTCTGATGTGGGTGGTAAGGTGAATGGGTGTGGTACGGAGGGCGGTTTGGTGATTGGTAGAAAGAAGGCGGACCGTAATAGCCACTGGGGTTTTCCATAATAATTATTACGGGTGGTTGGTGAAAAGAAGTGAGAAGATCGTTCTAACCAATCTTCACCCAAGCGAATCAGAAGAAATTAAACTAATGTCGTGCCACTCCCCGGCAACGGCGCCATTTGACAATTGTAGTTTTTTTTCGGGTAGTAAACCTTCCCAATAAAGGGTTAGTTTTCTCTCCGAGTGTCGTATCTCTCGAGGAGTGGACGAAGGGAATTAGTTTAATTACTCTAACTAGGCGAAGATTAGGATTGGTTTATGAAAGTATTCTCGGAACGATTATAAAAAGCATAGAGTGAAAATAATAAATTAATTTTACATAGTATAAGTGTAGATCTGGACCTAGGGTCAGGACATCATTTGGATCTATTCTATCATATTAAATTCACAATTGGAATAATAATATTTCTATTACTACTCATCCATTTCTAGATTTGTACTTAATCCGTTGTACTTGAATATCATAGCCTTTTGGCATACAATATTTTCTCAATAAATAGTTAATTAAATCTTCCGATATTAATTAACTAATTAAGGCAAGAACAATTGACTAACCATTCCAATATTAATTTAACATCAAATAAACAACCAAACTAGTCCGGACCCAGAGATCCAGACCCTAACTCATATTACGCAAACATAAATTAAAACATCATTTTATTAAATAAAGAAAACTTACAACGTCCATAAAAGCGGAACAGAACAGATCGGGAGTAGAATTCCTCCAAAAATTACTCTAAAACTACTATAATAATAAACTTGTATTTGGAATTGTAATAATAAGCTCAAATCCCGAGAGAGGGGATGAAAGTGATGTGTTGAATGGGGAGAATCGCGTTGTATTTATAGGACACAGGCCGAGGCGTCCAAGTCAAAGCGTCCAAGTCTAGGCGTCCAGATCGGGACGCTTGAGCTGCTCCGGCCAACCAGGTTTTGCAACGTGTCTTCCTTGATCTGCAATCCAGCCAAGGCGTCCAACTCCCAAGCGTCCAACTTGGCCAAGCGTCCAAGTTGGACGCCTTAGGCCCTGGTCCGTTTGGCTTCGCGGCTGTTTCATGATTTTGGCCCAATTTCGCTCCGTTTTGGTCCCGAACACTGTTTTTGACCTCTCGGAAGCTCGTTCAAGCCCGAATCTTGATCCCTTGATGATTTATTCCCTTTTTCTAAAGTATTTGAACATAAAATGGATGGTTTATGATAATTTCATGTGGAATCCCTTTTCATGACTCTTAGAACGAAAATGAGAGTTTTATTCATTGAAAACACATTTTATGAGATGATTAAATACTATTTACGTGCAATAACGTTTAGAATATGATGTAAATGATAAGAACGAAACGGACTTATCAAGTAACCATGGGGATTGTCTTCTTTGAAACTTGAATGGTATTCTTGCATCAGATGGTGTCAGTGATAGTCTTGGAATAACAACTTCTTGACCCATGTGTCTTCCAAATAAAATCTTTCCTTGGATCGAGAGATTAGCTAATCGAGTTACTATCAATCGAGTACCATTACACAAACCCATCAAATTCTTCACAATTTTTTGTATAAAATGATTTAAAACTAACTTTAGTCAAATATCATAACGGGCATCGAGAAGATAATTTGACATTAGTTCTAATCAAAGTCAAACAAGAAGACATCAATAAGAGAGTTTGATATTCCTATCATCCTTGCCACAGAGTACCACCATTGTTGACCACCGCCGACGTTCATTCTCTATTGCTGGTCACTCTCACCTATAACTAAAAATCTTGATTTCAAATCTTTTCAAAGACCACTATTTTGAATTTCAAAGTCCATATCATTTGTGCCAACTTTCTAAATTTGTATCATATATATCAATTATCTAAACTCGCTAATGAGATTCTTAGAGCCTCTTTGGTAAGTTTTGGAGGCATCATATGATATTGGTTTTGAAATCTAAAATGAAGTTGTATAGAGAAATTTGAAATACTGATTTAATTAGAAAGTGTGTGATGTCTAGAGATATTAAATTCAAATTTATGTTACGTTTCATCAAAGTATAATTTTTATATAAACATATATCAACACTAATATCTTTTGTGCTCAACAAATACTTCATCCGTTAAAAAATGAGTTTCACATCCATACTTTATTTAAAAAGACATGGAGTCAACATATGGTTTTCCCGCCTAAAGAGTATGATAATTACAAATGGTAATTGTGAAGTTAAAATGGTAAGTGGCCAAAATTATAGTAATAATTATTATAATTATTATATTTACAATAATTAAAGAAAGGTAAGTCAAAATGGCCGAAAGGTAAGTTAATAACTGTGAATTTATAATGGTAAGTGGTCGAAATTGTAAAGTTATAATTATTATATTTATAAAAATTAACGCGAGCATTGAAAATTGGAAATAATTAAAAAAGGTAAGTTATAAAATTGCAAAGCGTAAGTTTTTAATAAAAATGGAATCAACGAATTATATGCTAAGTTTTTAATCACAAATGTCCGAAATTGTTTTTATGTAAGCGTGAAGTTAATTTATCTATTATTTTTATAATAATTAACGCGAGTAATATAAAATGGTAAGCATGAAGTTAACCAATTGGAAATAATTACAAAAGGTAAGTTATACAATTATACACCCAATTTCGCAAAAAAGAAAATAATTGGAAATAATTAAAAAAGGTAAGTTATAGAATTATATACCCAATTCCGAAAAAAGATAATTGGAAATAATTTAAAAAGGTAAGTTATAATAATTAACTGTCATTTTTAACCTTTTTTTATGTAAGTGTGAAGTTAATATAGCTATTATTTTTATAATATTTAACATGAGTAATATAATTACAAATGGCAATTGTAAAGTTAAAATGGTAAATGGCCGAAATTATAGTAATAATTATTATAATTATTATATTTATAATAATTAAAGAAAGGTAAGTTAAAATTGTCGAAAGGTAATTAATTTAATAATTGTGAAAATTGGAAATAATTAAAAAAGGTAAGTTATAAAAATGCAATGCGTAAGATTTTAATAAAAATGGAATCAACGTATTAAATGCTAAGAATAAGTAACTGTCATTTTTAACCTTTTTTGTGTAGGTGTGAAGTTAATATAACAATGATTTTTATAATAATTAACGTGAGTAATATAAAATGATAAGCGTGATGTTAATATAATTATTATATTTATAATAATTAACATATTGAAAATTGGAATAGATTTAAAAAGGTAAGTTATAAAATTGCAAAGTGTAAGTTTTTAATAAAAATGGAATCAATGAATTATATCCTATTACAATTATATATATACTACAAATACAGTACTTTTCCAAGCCAAGGTACTAAGATTAATCAACCTATGTTTAAATTCGGTGCTTCAACATCGATTTTTGTACGAACATGGGGATCATAACCGCTTTAAAAAATGTTGATGAGAGGTGAGGACTACTGATGTTAAAACTAAGAGAGGTAAGAATTAATCACGTTCCTGCTCATTCTCGGGGGCAGGAATCATTGGATGTTATATTTACTAAATTTATAGAAACAATAAACAATACTACATAAATGGTAAAAATCATTCACACATGTTATTACTTTAGAAAAATAATATGTATTAATATGTAATAAATTATTACATTAAAAAATTATGAATTTGTATGAGCATTAAAAATGTTTTTATTTTTATTTAAATACATTTATATGTTTTATTTTTAATAACACCGAAAATAGTAATTCAAAAAGGTGAATGTGTTTCTGTTTTTATTTAAATGATACGCAAGTTAATGGTAAGTGTTGCTAGGGTAATTTTGGATTCTATTAATGGTGGTCCCCAAAATGGTGAGGTACAAAGTCTAGAGGGGGGGTGAATAGACTTTGTTACAAATTTAAAACTTTTTCATTTCTTTTGAAAACGTGAAAAGAGTATTAATCTAAAGTTCGTGTGAACTTAGATTGTGTGCGGAAATTGGTGGGTTATTGGAGCAGTAATCAATATGGATGAGTTTGTTTCACAGTTAATATAAAAGCAAATATAAGTAAAGATAAGAGAGAGAGACACGCAAACTTTAACGAGGTTCGAAGGTGGGGTAATCTTTCTACGTCCTCAAAATACACTATGTAGTTGGTTGTTGAATAATGAACCAAAAATTACACTTTTGTGAATTTCTGCACGGTATATCTTCGCAAGGCCAATGTTGCTACTGCACTCGTGCTGGCTTTGTTGTTCATTCGAAGGTCACGCTTCTTCAACAACTACAAGGTCCAAACAATAGGACTTGCAAGATCAACTTTTAGAAAAGTTGATGTGCCCCGTTTTAATCAAGATGTTTGATTAAAAGTAGTATCCTTAAACGTGGTGTGGTACTTGAGGCAAGGAAACCTTCAAGTGTTTACACTATAGCTCTTTGGAAGAAGGAGAGTTTGCTTCTGGATAAGGAGTTTAGAAATATCTCTTTATCAAGCTTTTTGGCTAACTGTGAATGAGATAGCTTTAACTACAGATTTATGTGTTCTACGTCGTTGCTATATATATCTTCAATCTTCCATGGGAGCTATATATAGGTTGGATGGATAATCTATCCGTTGAAGGGAATAGACTATCCTTGGAATGAGTGTTTGGACATACCCAATTGTTTGAGGAGGGATTCCTTTTCCACATAATTCGTCCTTTAGCTGTTGTTCAAGAATTCTAGACTGTAGCTCTTTATTGAGTGGAGTACCCAATTTGTCTTTTTGTGTTTGTTCAAGAATTCTGGCAGAGCTTTTCAATTTAAGGAGTCCAAACTTTGTCTTCATGCAATTTGTTCTTACCAACGAGTAGAATTTCTTCATTCATGACTAAGATAAATTTCTAAGTCTTTTCTCACTTAACTGCTTTTGAGAATTCCGGTCTTCCTTGAGACATCCGGTTCTTAGCAGATAGTTTCGGATTAGTCATTCTTAGACTTCCGGGTGAGAAAGTGATCCGCGCTAGTCTTCCGATTCGGATGACTTAGCCTTCAGCGGGTTGTAGCGAGACTTCCGGGTATCCTAGAGCAGTCCGGTTTTGAGAATTCCAAAGTAAACAACAACTTTGAGAATTCCTTATTTGTCCCTGATATTTCAGAGCAAGAATTCCAATCTCCATATCACTAAATTTGCTAAGTCTTCAAAATGTGAAATCAAACCACAAAATGAAATATCACAAGTTTTATTGAAAATCTCAAGAACTCGGTTTTAACAATATTTCTAAAAAGAAAATTACATTGTATATCGGGGGTGACCTAAAGTCCCTATTACCATCTAAATAAATCATCATCAAAATCTATAATTTTTCTCAACAATTAACTAATAATTATATGGTAAAGGGGAATATGTTTCTATTTTTATTAAAAAATTACTGTTTTTGTATGAGCATTAAAAAGTTTCCGTATTTATTTAAAACTTATTACCATTTTTTAAGTTTAAAATTTCCATTTATTTAAAACTTTATTTAAAATAGTTATTACCATTTTTTTCCAAGTTTAAAATTAAATCTTATTACCATTTTGATCTAAGTGTAAAACTAATAACGTACACTTGGATTTTTTATTTTATTCCACGGGTAATGAAATATACTTGGAATAAAATTTCCAAAATATTAACTATTTTTGATAATATGAAAAGAAATGAATAAAATAACAAAAAATGGAAGTTCTCTATGAATTTTACTTTTATCGTTAAATGAAAAAAATAATTATCCGAATAAAAGTCTCTTTATTATATATTGAAATGGAATCATAAATTATGAAATGATGTATGAATAATTCTACTTTGAGAATCACGAATGTTTTATTTGTATTTTTTAATGTTTAGGGGAAATTGGCTACATTGTACATTGTGGACAGATAATGTTTATCTGGTGATCGATGGTCTCAACAAAGTGGTATCAGCGCCTCAAATTCCGGTGATGCAAATGGTGAAACCTAGTGATGGATACCCAATATTTTCCTAGGTATTGTGGATCGGCCCGGGTTCAAATACAGGTGTCTGGGCCTTATAATATTGAAAGAATAATACGAGAATAGCAAGTAAGAGTAATGGAAACACTGCTCACGGACCCGAACTAAGACCGGTGGTCCTCTCCTTTATTCAGTCCTCTCAGGGACGGAATATGCTTAAGGACCGCCGGAATCTTTTATTGTTACTCAAGTCTTTTTTTCTCTCCTCCCCCTTAATCCCTCAATCCTTCCCCCTTTTATAGGCGCTCCCCAACTGCTATCTTCTACAATAATAGCAGTGATTGGGGAGGACACTCGCGCCAGCCTTGCTCTTTCCAGGGGGAGTGTATCTCCACTTGAGGTCGTCCACTGGAGGACAAACCCTTCCGTCCATCTCTTGCTTCCTGTTCTTCGTCCGTCTCTTTCTCCTCGTCTTTGTCCCTTCAAGTGAAAGGGGGGACTCCCCAAACTTCTCATAGGATTCCTCTCTTTGTGGGGGCCTACCCTTAATGGGCTGGCTCCAGCCCATCCTTAAGCCCCACCTCTCTTCCTTTTCCTATCTTTCTCTACGGACGACCTTCCTGTGACCGGCCCGGTACATTTTACCTGGGCCGGATGCTCCTTTTGATGGACGGGATCCGAATTGGGCCCAGGCCCAATTCGCGAGTACTCTCTCGATGGGCTTGGTTCCCATCACATGCCCCCTTTTTACAAGTCAAAAAATAAAAAAAAATTTGACTGTAGTCTTCCTCGCACGCTTCCTTGGGGAGTTTTTCCTTTGTCATCTTTTCATTTTCTGACGAAGATTCTCCTTTTGGGGAAGGCCCCAAAGTTTAACTTGTATTCACTCCAGAGGATATTCCCCACAGTACGTCCTTGCGGGCCAGGATGTGCAATTGGTCGAGTGAACTGTTTGTGGCCACACACGGTTCTGTCCAATGGCTGCTTGGTCATGCGAACAGTCCCTGCACACCAATAATGGTGGTCCGTTTGTAGAGGAATAAATTGGGCGTGGTTCGTGTGCATGGGAAAAGGCACGAATGGACCGCTGCGAGTCTGTGACACTTAAATATCCTTGGCCCATTTTTCCAAACCCCTTTTGACCAGTTCCTCTAATTCCCTTAATTGCTGCATAGGGCCGTTCTACTGCGCACAATTCAAGGTACCCACCCATCTATGATTGTGGGACCGTAACAGGAAAAAGGAAAGCAACAGAGGACCGCAGAACTAAGAAATCGGCAGAGTGGACCGTTTCGAAACAGGTGCCATTCAAGATTCTTACCGTTGCAAAGAGATATTGAGGGTGGACCGTTTCTTCTCCCTCTTCTCTTTCTCTATAAGTACGGTCCCTCTCCCCTCTCCTTCTTCACGCTCACACGCAACTCTTCACTTCTCCTGCCTTTACCCCTTCCGAATCATCCTCTCTTCTTCCCAAGACCTTTACTCTCTCTCACCATGAAGAAGACAATCTCCAAGGTTTCCAAGATCTTCAACGGCGGCAAGAAATCCAAGGAGGACGAGAATGTTTCCTCCATCACTCCTGTGCAATTGGGGGAGATGAGGGGAGTCATTCCTCCTGATTATGGCATCCAAGAAGCCACGGGTACTACTTTGGAGCGCAATCCTGACATCTCCCGCCGATTGGTTGTCCACTACGACTCGGTTAGGATGGGATGTCGCTTTCCTCTCCATCCCCTCTTGATTGAACTTTGCAACCGCTACGCCATACCTCCCGGCCAGATCTCCTCGAACTCCCACGAGAGTCTCTTTGGCTTCTTGGCGCGGTGTCACAAGCGAAGCATTCAACCCACTCTTGAGCTCTTCTTCTCTTTCTTCTGCCCGCACAAGTACGATAGTGAGTCGGGCCGGGGGTACGTGAGTTTCACGGCTCGGACCGATATGCAGTTTTTGGACAGCCCCGCTGACAAACTTGATGACTGGTTCCGCCGCTTCTTCGTGGTGGTAGTCCCGAAGGACCTCCCTTTCCCCAATGTGTGGCGAAAGAAGGAAGACAAATTTCCTTCCCATACTTTTCTTACACGTGATTTGGAGCTCGATCGGATCTATCGTCTCCTCCTTAAGAACGGCTATTCGGTTCCCCGAGCGCTTCTCTTCAAGGATTCGCACTTCCGGGGTCTCGGATATTGGGTGTCTCCTGATATTCCTTCTCAAGAGCCGTCGGGAAATACCACTTCTTCTTGGGTTCCTCCTTTTAGGAGGACCCGACTCTGCCAGCGATCCTCTCGAAGGGATCCCTCTCCGGAGGAGGACATCGATGGCGAAGAGGCTGGGCCCGCGACTGGGACCCAACCTATGCTACTCGCTGACCGCCCTCATCTTTCGGAAGAGGTGGTGGTCGAGGACGCGTCCGACGATGATGGCCTCTATGACTTCCCTCCGGGGACCTTGAGGGGATCCGGTCTTATCCCCGGTGTTCCCCATATTCCTCTTTTTGGCAGGGGGACTTCTCCTTCTGCCCAATTCATGGGCCCGTTGGGTTTCCATCCTCAACCCAGTGGGACCATGCCCATTGGGCGCACCACCGGTTCACAAGGGTCCCTTGAACCGCCACATGTCCAGGTGGCCGGGATTGGGATTCCGTGCAGCACTGAATCTCCATGGGAATATTCCCCCTCCTCCGGCTGCGGGGGGAATGAGGCAATTTCCGAGCCCCCACCGTCCTCTGCCCTGAATTTTGCAGAGTCAGCGGCGGAGAGCATTTTTGGGACGCCCCTTGGTCAAGGCGGTGTTCCTCTCCCTAGAGCGAATATCCATCGATCTTTTAGGGAGACGGAGGAGTTAATTCGGTCCTCCAGTTTTGGGAAGGCTATTGTCCCCTCATCCGTCCGTCCCACTGTTGTTCCCGGTCCGTCAACTCAGGAGACTGGGTCTTCTTCTTCTTCTCAGGCCCATCATAAGAGGGGCCGGAATTCCACTCCTCTCCCAAGGTCTTTAGTGTCCGCCGGTCCTTCCACGGGGACCGCTGATCACTTCTTTGGGACCGCTGGCGATGGGTCCCCTACCGGGCAAGGGAGTCAGCCCTTTCCTTATGCCCGGGAGGCCTATCAGTACACAGGGTACACAGCTTGGGTTGGACGGGATTTCAACAGCAAGCTTCAAGGGATACAACAGCTTAAAAGGGACCATCCAGATGTGATTCACAGCCCAGTCTGGCCGTTTATGCAGGAGGAGTATACTCGTATGGTAAGTGTTCCCCTCCTTTTCATTTTAAGTCTTCCATTTATTCCTTCATGCTATTTAGGACTGCTAAACTCTACTTTCTTCCTCTTTTGATAGGCCGATTACGTCGCCACTTCCTCTGCTCAGCGCCACTCCCTTCGCTTATTGGACCGCAATGTTGCTTTATCAAGGGAGCTGAGGGATTTCAAATCTCGGCACTCTATTTGTGTCGAGCGCCCGGAATATGATCGGGTTTTGTCGGAGAATGATCAGCTCTATTCTGACCGCGAGCGGCTTTCGGCCAAGGTTGGACAGCGTGAGGAATCTCTGAGGAGAGACTTGGAACGGCAAGCCAGAGAGCGGGAGGTCCAATTTCGAGAGGAGGCCGAACTTCACCGGAAGAGATCCGAGGAGGAGCTGGAGCGAACGTGGCGTCGCCGATCCGAGGAAGAAGCAAGGAGGGCGGCGGAAGAGGTTGAGCAGAGGTGGCGCCTCCAGCACGAGGAAACCGAACGTCGACTTTCTCAACGGGTTGACGAGCTAAACCTAACCCTTATGGAGGAGAGGCGCTCAGCCCGGAGTTCGCTTGATGAGGCCCGCCGCTCTCTCGAGAATGAACGTCTTACATATGAGGGGCATATGGCTCGAATGGAGGCCGATCGCATCTCAGACTACGGTAAAGGTTTCTACCGTGGAGGATTGGAAGTCCAGCAGAAGTTTTATCATGGCCTGGAGCCCTATTCTGATGGGCAAGATCCTTGGCTGAAGTTCTCAGGCATCCCTGGACCCATGGGACCAGAGCCCTCTTTTCTCCACTCCCCTCCCCCATCTTGAATCGTTGCAGTTTGTTTAGGAACGGTCCTCCTGTGTTCTTCTTGTATTAATTTCTGTTTATCGTTGTAAGGACTTGTCCGTTTGCATGTCTCTGTTTTTTTTTAAGAACTCCTGGACAGATTATGGACAGAAAACTCCCCTTCCTTTCTTTTTTGCAACGTACAGCCTCTTTCAAAAAAAAAAAGAAAACACCCTAAATAGAAAACACCCTAAATAGAATGCTCTTAACGGAATAGAAACTCGAACGGACCCGCTCCTACTGGTAGAATTTCTTTAAGTGCTCTACATTCCAGTAATTGTCCAATGTTTCTCCTTCAGAAGTAGCCAGTTGATAGGTGCCTACACGCACCACTCTCTCCACGCGATACGGACCTTCCCAATTCTGGGCCAGTTTCCCTCCTTTAGTAGGCTGACTCTTCTCCCTTTTACGTAGGACCCAATCGCCCACTTCGAATGCCCGAAGTATAGTTTTCTTGTCGTGATATCTTTTGGATTGTCGCTGGTACTCTTCCGCTCTTATCGCCGCATCATCCCTCCTTTCTTGCATGAAGTGGGAATCCACTTCCATTAACTGCTCGTTGAGGATCGGGGTGTATGCCTCCACCCTTATACTAGGGACCAAGACCTCGGTTGGCACCTTTGCCTCGAAGCCATAGGCCAAGGCGAAGGGAGTCTCTCCTGTGGCTCTCCTCGGAGTGGTCCTATGGGCCCACAACACATAGGGCAGCTCTTCCACCCAAGACGTGCCCAATTCATGCAATCTCTTCTTGATACCGTCCACAATCGTTCTGTTAGCATTTTCCACTTGTCCGTTGCATTGCGGGTAGGCTACAGCGGCCCGACTGAGTTTAATTTTCCATGCATCACAGAACTCCTTGAAACTGGTGTTGGCAAACTGAGTGCCGTTGTCCGTTATGATTTGCTCAGGTACACCAAATCTACACAGCAAACTTTTCCACACAAATTTACGGCAATTTTCCTTAGTGATCTTCACGAGGGCCTCCGCCTCAACCCACTTGGTAAAATAATCTATTGCCACAATCGCAAATTTTTTCCTTCCAGCCCCTTGGACGAAGGGACCCACCAAATCCAACCCCCATCTAGCAAAGGGGATGGCCGTGGTGACTGGGGTGTAAAAGGAGGACGGGCGTCCAGGGATTGGTGCAAATACTTGGCAAGTTGGGCACTTCCTTACCAATTCCAGCGCATCCTTCTTCAAAGTGGGCCAATAGAACCCCTGGAGCACCACCGTTCTGGCTAGAGTGAGGGCACCTTGATGGGCAGAGCAGACTCCTTGGTGTACTTCTTCCAATATTCTTCTTGCTTCTTTCTCACTCAAACATTTGAGCATCGGTCTACCCAAGGTCCTTTTATACAATTTCCCTCCATCCAACTGATATTTGGGAGCCATTAACTGAACTCTGCGGGCCTCCTTGGGGTCAACAGGGAGCTTCCCCTTTTCAAGGTATGTGATCAGGGGGCTCATCCAAGTTGTACCTGGACCGGATATCTCAAAGACAGGGACCGCCTCTTCCCAAACAGGACAAGTCTTCCCATGCTGTCTTACCATACCCTCCATGTGGACGGGAATGGTCCTACATAATTTGGCAAGCATATCCGCTTCCTCATTCTCCTCCCTTGGAACATATATGAGTTCATAATACTCAAATTGTCCCAGTAGAGTCCTGGCGCAATCCTTGTATCTTTTCAACCTTCCCTCCTTGGCCTCCATCTCTCCTTTTAGCGGTCCGATGGCCAATTTTTAATCGGATTTAAGGCGAATGCGATTTATCTTCATGAATAGGGCAACCTGGATTCCTCCAATGAGGGCTTCATACTCCGCTTCATTGTTGGTGGCCCGAAATGTGAACTTGAAGGAATGATAAGCCTTGAAGCCTTCGGGGGAGGTGAGGACCGCTCCTCCTCCTGAACCGTCTTTAGTGCAAGATCCATCTGAATGAACCTCCCATATCTCCTTTTTTTCTTTCCTGACCGGTCCCATCCTCTTCTGGCTTTCCTCTTGCTGTGCATTCTACCATAAAATCGGCAATTACCTGGCCCTTCTTGCTAGAACGGGGCTGGTAAGAAATATCATACTGAGAGAGGACCATAGCCCACTTGATGACCCTTCCTGAAGAAGATGGGTCCCTCAAAACTGCTCCCAAAGGCTGGTCTGTCATGATTCTCACTGGGTGAGCTTGAAAATAGGGAGTTAACCTCTTGACAGTTACCACCACCGCCAAAACACATTTTTCCAAGGGAGTGTACCTTGTTTCCGGTCCTCTTAAGGCCCTGCTTGTGTAATAAACTGGCTTTTGGATTCCTTCTTCTTCCCTCAAGAGGACCGAACTCACTGCAAGATGTGCCACCCCCAAGTATAAGAAAAGAACATCCCCTGTTAATGGTTTGGAGAGGACCGGTGGAGAGCTCAAATATGCCTTCAAGTGTTCAAAGGCTTCTTGGCACTCTGCGGTCCACTGGAAGTTTCCCCCTCCCTTTAAAATTGTGAAAAAGGGCAGGGACCGCTCCGCGGACCGCGCCAAAAACCTTCCTAAGGCCGCTATCCTCCCTGCTAATCTCTGGACTTCCCTCAAATTTGTTGGTGGTTCCATGTCTTGGATGGCCTTCAACTTGTCCGGATTGACCTCAATCCCTTTCTTGCTCACCATGTAACCAAGGAATTTTCCTCCCTGGACCCCAAAGGCACATTTTTTGGGGTTCAATCTCAAATTATGCTTCCCCATGATGCTAAAGCATTTCTCCAAGTGCTGAGGATGGTCCGCTGCCTGCTTACTTTTGATCAGTAAGTCATCCACATAGGCCTCCATGATCTGTCCCAGGACCTCCTTGAATAATAAATAGATCATTCTCGTAAATGTGGCCCCCGCATTACGCAGTCCAAAAGGCATGACCACGTAACAATATACTCCTTCAGGGGTGATAAAGGCTGTGGATTCCGCATCATCTTTGTGCATGAAAATTTGATGCTATCCTCGGAAGGCGTCCATAAAACTCAATAGTTCATGGCCCGCCGTTTCATCTACCAGTTGGTCTACTCTTGGTAGGGGAAAGGGGTCCATAGGACATGCCTTATTGAGGTCAGTGAAGTCCACACACATGCGAAAGGTGTCCCCTTTTGGTTCCAGCACCACATTAGCGAGCCATTTAGGATATTGGACCTCCCTGATGTGGCCGGCCTCCAAAAGGGTCTTCACCTCTTTCCTCACAAATTCTTTTCTGTCCGTGGACAGATACCTTTTCTTCTGCTTGACCGGGGAGGGAGTCCACCTTGATGTTCAACTTATGGCAAATGACCGAGAGATCGACTCCGGGCATATCCTTGGATTCCCACGCGAAGAGGACCGAGTTTTCTCTTAGTACTCGGATAATCTCTCCACGGGTATCCTCCTCTAGCCCTAAACCGATCCTCACAACCTTTTCTTGATCCCCCTCAGGGAATAGCACCACTTCTTCCATTTCCACAGCTGGCTTAGGCCTCTCCTGGTCCTCCTCTCTCCTTTCCTTATCTTCCAAAGCTTGCCCAATGGTTTGGATGTTGAGATTCTCCTTGTCTATCCTCTTGCAGGCACTTAGATAGGCCTTCTTCGCCGCGGGTTGATCACCAAGGACCCTCCCAACACCTTTGGGAGTCCTAAACTTGAGGCACAGGTGCTCAAGGGATAGCGCACCTCCCAAGTCCTCTAGCCCAGGCCTCCCTAGGATGGCATTATGAGTGCATTTGATATCAACCACTACAAAATCCATCCTCATATACCTCACCATAGGATGCTTGCCTATGATGATGTCCAATTTAATGGATCCTTCCGGTTCAATTATGTCTCCAGTGAAACCGGACAAGGGCATGTTAAGCTTTGTGAGATCTTCCTTCCTGATTCCCAATTGCTGGGCCGCCTCCCAGTACAACACATTGACACTGCTTCCTGTGTCCACCAATATTCTTTTGACAAAAAATTTATGAATAGCCATAGAAATTACCAGGGGAGTCCGATGAGGACTAGGGATGAGGGGTAAATCCTCGTCTGAGAAGACAATGGGCTCTCTCCTTCCTCTCTTGGCCGCCTGACCTATGTCAATGGACCCCACATATACCTTCCGAGCCCATTCCTTCCTTTCCTTGCTTGTGACTCCCGTTTCTGGACCGCCAAAGATGACTCCTACTTGGGGAAATTCCTCCGGGTTCTCCTGGACTTGCTGTTGAGGTTGGGCGTCCCTACGCCAAACATTACCTCCTTGGTTCGGCTCCCGATTAGCATTTGGCACCTTGTCCTTCATCTCTCCTTCCATCTTTTTGAGGAAATGACATTCCTCCGTGGCGTGTCCGGGCCTTCTATGGAAGTTGCAATATTTTTCTGGGTCATAGGGCCACTGCCTTCTTTTTTGGTCTCCACGTTTCCTCTTCTGTCCACCTTCCTCCTTGCTCTTGATTTCTGCCACCGGTGCGGCTAGTGACTTGAGGGTAGGGATGGAAAGAGTGGTTGCCTTGGCCTTTTCTCCTTTCTTTTCTTTGTCGGGACCTTTATGCAAGGCTCCCTCACTCTTTCCTTTCAGGCGATCCGACTCTTCCGTGGCGCAGAACTTGTTAACCCTAGCCATCATAGCCTTGTAAGAAGTAGGGGTATCGTAATCTAACTTCCTGAACAATTCTCCCGACCTAAGAACATTCATGAACAGAGCAATGGAAGTCTTATCGTCCATAGGCTCCACCTCATTGATTGCTTCATTCCATCTTTGTACCAATTCACTGTTGGTCTCCCCCTCCCTTTGCTTTAGGGAGAAAAGATGGGTGAAGTGCTTCTTTGGTTGGAAACTTCCTCCATAGGCGTTGAGGAAAAGTTGAGCAAGATCTTTGAAGCAATCAATGGTCCCGTTAGGAAGGGTGATGAACCATTTTACGGCCGGCCCCTCCAAAGTTCCTACGAAGAGACGACATTGGATCTCGTCTTCCACGGCGTGCATCAACATGTGAGTTTGGTACGCGGCCAAGTGATCATTGGGATCGGTGACTCCTTTATAACGGATTTTAGGGGCTTTCATACCCCTGGGCAATTGAGCTTTCATCACTCTGGCAGTAAAGGGAGAAATTATCTCCACTGTGAGTCCAAAAGACCCGTCCTTGTCAACCTGCCTCTTTAGTTCCTCCATTTCTTTTCTCAATTTGAGAATGTCTCCGGCATCTTCATTGTCGTGTCCCCCAGAATTTTCCCCAAATTCCTCAGTTCTGGGTCCCAACCTTTGGGACGCATTTCTGCGCATCCGCTTGTGTACTGATACGCGCCCTTGACTCTCCACATCCTCATCCTCTTCTTGGCCCGTTTCTCTCCCGGTCCTTTGGGACCGGGCCTCTCCTTCCTTGTTGAGCCATCCGATTAACTTTCGTACTATGGGGGAGTTCTCGTCGAATTTTCCTGTTGCTGCTTGAGAATCCTTTGGATGAGAACTCTTAGGGGCTTTGGAGTGGAAACTTTGTTCACAAGATTTGTCTTGTGTTTCACGCCTGGATTGGGAGAGAGTTAATTGGTGTCTGAGATCCTGAGACGAGAGCTTCTCTTTCCCTTCCAAGTTAGTTCGCGCCTTAGCAGCCATTTTGTTCCTCCTGGACCGGTTTTTGCCCATGGTGACAGTTGGAATCCTTCTCTTTTAAAAGAAAAAGGTGGGTCAATCGTGAGATAACGGCCCCTGAGCAAGAAATCGGTCCTCCTATGTGATTGACCTGTGAATACGGTCCTCTGTAGAGGGTCGATCCTCCTTTCCCTCTCTCCTTTTTTTTAAATAATGGACCGACTAATATGAGGAGTCTTTCTGGATGGACCGCGAACTTATCTCCTTCACTTGGAGTGGACCGCTGTTTCTTCCTAGGTCTAGGAAGAGGTCTTTCCAGGTGAACAAGAATGAGATAGGCTCGCTATCAACTCCCCAGATGGCTAGGAAGCTTCAATCGGTCCCACGGATGGCGCCAGTGATGGATACCCAATATTTTCGTAGGTATTGTGGATCGGCCCGGGTTCAAATACAGGTGTCCGGGCCTTATAATATTGAAAGAATAATACGAGAATAGCAAGTAATAGTAATGGAAACATTGCTCACGAACCCGAACTAAGACCGGTGGTCCTCTCCTTTATTCAGTCCTCTCAGGGACGGAATATGCTTAAGGACCGCCGGAATCTTTTATTGTTACTCAAGTCTTTTTTGTCTCCTCCCCCTTAATCCCTCAATCCTTCCCCCTTTTATAGGCGCTCCCCAACTGCTATCTTCTACAATAATAGCAGTGATTCGGGAGGACACTCGCGCCAGCCTTGCTCTTTCCAGGGGGAGTGTATCTCCACTTGAGGTCGTCCACTGGAGGACAAACCCTTCCGTCCATCTCTTGCTTCCTATTCTTCGTCCGTCTCTTTCTCCTCGTCTTTGTCCCTTCAAGTGAAAGGGGGGACTCCCCAAACTTCTCATAGGATTCCTCTCTTTGTGGGGGCCTACCCTTAATGGGCTGGCTCCAGCCCATCCTTAAGCCCCACCTCTCTTCCTTTTCCTATCTTTCTCTACGGACGACCTTCCTGTGACCGGCCCGGTACATTTTACCTGGGCCGGATGCTCCTTTTGATGGACGGGATCCGAATTGGGCCCAGGCCCAATTCGCGAGTACTCTCTCGATGGTCTTGGTTCCCATCACCTAGCATTAAAAAAATTGGACTCAAACATTTAATTGTCTAACGAGTGTTTTTTATATTTCATAAGGAATCTCGGTTACACAAATATTTAAAGGTCTAACGAGTGTAAGATAATTGTTTATTTTACTCAATGAAAAAATATTGTTTTCATTGTTAATAAAAAAGGAGTAAAATGCCAACAAAAAATGACATAAAACAGAGACACTACAAGTATTGCTTTCCGTAAAAACGAATCACTGCAAAAAACAACACAATTAACTCTGAAAAAATTTTTTTAACCAGAGTTTTGATTAATGTTATTTATATTATAGTCATGGACAAATGTATGTTGTAGTTGTTAGAATAAAGGACCAACGCTAGAGGGGGGTGAATATCGTTTAAAACAAAATCGCAGGAAATTAAAAACGAGAGCGTTAAAGGAAAGAGCGTAAGAAAGGAGCACACCGAATTTTATCCTGGTTCAGCACAACGTGTGGCTAATCCAGCCCCCCGAGAGACTCTCTCGAGCTACACTAACTCCGTTAACCTTAAGGGTGCTTAATAAACCAATACAACTTGAGAACCCGAGTCACGCGAGCCTCAACACCTTTGCTCGGAGATAACGCACTCCAAAACTTCTCACGAAGGAACAAGGAACTTCCTTCAAGTTTACAACAAGGGAACAACCTCCCTTAAAGTGTATGAAAACACTTAAACACTCAGGAATAAAACTCTCGCAAAGAGTAGATATGAGTGAACTAGTAAACGCTCAAGAACATGATAATTTCTTCAAGAATTGGCTCTCAAATAGCTAAGAAAAATAAGAATGATTATGCAATGAAAGAGTATTGAAATGTTGAAGAATTGTGTGTAAAATGAGAGGATTTGGGTGCCATTTTATAGCCCAAAAAGGGATAAACCCGTTGCTAGAGTTTCCAACAAGATGAAGATAAATTTTTCAGGGACAGAGGCTGATAGTCGATTATCCAAGCTTGATAATCGATTATCAAAAGATTCCTTGTCCAAAAATTTAAAATTCTATCCGTTGGAGGACAACGGTAACCCAGATAATCGATTGTCAACAAGTGATAATCGATTATTGGTCCTCTCAGAAGAATCTGGGTTTTGGCTGCAAAGACTGATAATCGATTATTGCATAAGTGATAATCGATTATTGCGTGCTTCAGAACTTTGGAAGTTCAAAGCTGCAGGGGCTGATAGTTGATTGTCACTAATGTGATAATCGATTATCACCCAGCTAAAGTATAGCCAGCTGAAACCCGTTTTGAAAAACCAAGGTCCAAAAACGAAGTGTTCCCAAAAGTAAAAACCAGGTTTGAAAAATATTGTATATGGTATAAAATAGTGAAAACAAGACTTGTTTGGTAAAAACCAAGTCTCCAAGGTCGTACAATACGTGCGTATGGTTTTGACCGTTTTTCACGTGTTAGACCTATTGACCAAGATACAAAAGTGGTTTTTATAAAATAATTATTTGGGAACATTTTAAAAATGCTCAGAGGTAAAAACAGGGTTTAAAATATTGAAAACAACGGAGTTGGTTCGGGCGCCAAAAACCGAACGCCGACAGCCGAACGCCGACTTAGGTGGTTGCGGTTCCGAGCAAGGACCAGGGATTTTAACAATAAAAAATCATCAAAAATGTTTGTTTTGATGCACAAAAAATATTTTATGATTTGTAAAAATTGTTTTGACTTTTTGAGAACCGAGACTTGAATTTATTGTCGGTTTTGATCACAAAAGACCGACTCGACTAAGTCTTAAATTCTTGATCTTGTCCTTAAGTCTTTTTGGTCTTGTTCCAAATCATTCTTCACGCCTTGAGTTATTCAACGAAACTCTTTATATCCACGGCGGTTTGGCAATTATCAAAACATGTCAGAAATGAACATGACTTTAGTTTATCGTACAAAGTGTGTTCCAACAATTTCCCCCTTTTTGATAATGGCAAACAAAACGGGGATATGCATAGGGTTTTGATCGTTTTGAAAAAAATTCCCCCTTAATATATGCATAGCCCTTATCTTCCCCTTTTGACATTAACAAAAAGATTGTTAACAACAAAAATCATAAAGATTTTTATTAATTAATTAAGGGAAATAACGGAGTACATAACGAAAGCATATTAAAAGATGATAAAATAAGGAAGAGAAGAAAGTAGAGCTAGAGCTCTAGAAGTCCGGTGAAAGATCATTGAGAAGTTGGTCTTCGTCAATGTCTTCTTCTTCATCATCTTCATCTTCATCATCATCTTCGGCTTCTTCTTCTTCTTCGTCTTCCTCTTCCTCATCGTCCACCTTTTCATCTCCCCCAACGTTATTAGTCCCACTTGGTGCACCCCCGACATTCGGTGGAGGAGCATAGGGGACCATTTGAGCGTAAGGGTAATTGACAAAGTCAAAGTACCCGTGAAGCTCTCGGCTCAAAATATTTACATTTTGGGTCGTTTGGGAGACGTTGGTGTCAATCCGAGAGAGAGTGGCGGTCAAGGCTGTCATTTGCTCGGCGAGAGAAGGATTGGTCGAAGCGGTGGTGGTCGAGGCAGTGGCTCTCGGTTGGCGGCGAGGACGAGGCTGCGGGAACGTAGCTTCATCGGTTCCCGGGTGGAAGGAAGACTCGTCAATCTCCCAATGGTTTGTTCCTTTGCATTTTGGCCCGACGTCCGTCTTGATGTGGAACTCATCAAGGACCGCCATGACAAGGAGAGCATAGGGGAGCGGCCAGTTGTCGGAGGTGGCGTTGAACATGTGAGTCATCACAAATTTACACCAATTGATATTGGCGTTGTGAATCATCGCATGAATTGTCTTCGTGTCCTCCTGGGAGAGAGTGGTGTGATTGAACTTCCTAGGCTTGAGAATCCGTGTCAAAACATAAAAAATGAATCGAAACACGGAACTCATGGAAGCAATCGTAGGGCGCCGCTGTTGGGGAGTGGGGACGAAGTGTCGGATGCCCACTTCCTCCAAGAGAGCGGTCTCATTGAACCGCGCTCCTTCTTCTCTAACGTAGAGCCCGAGATCCTGTCCGTCCCGACGAAGCCCGATGAGGATTTGAATGTTTTCCTCATTCAAATAAATGTCCACCCCGTTGACGTTAGAGATCAACGCTCCATCCTCATCCTTTTTCAAGTTCGAGTAGAAAGCTCGAACAAGAAAGGGGTGATAATGAGCCTTCTTGATGTAGAGGAGGTCGAGGAAGTTTCCACGTTCGAGGATAACCCGTGCCTCACGTGGAATGGAGTCATGAATGAAGCGAGCGGTGGAGATTCGGGGAGGGAGAATTTCCCGGTGCTCATACTTCTCTGAGAACCGCGTCGCCTCTGCGCGGTCGTTGAACCAAAGGAATGACCCATCGAGGTACTTGTGTGCCAGTGGTGGAGGAGGAGCAGAGGAGGAAGCAACGTTCTTCCCGGAAGCCAGGTACAACAAACTGATTGAGAAATCCGAAGAGACACACTGCTCCAATCTCAAGGAGATAAGCAAATCAGTATGAGTAACACTATGAGCAACACGATGGAGACGTATGCATCTGACAGTTATCTTCAACTCAAGGAGGTTAACAAAATCAGAGAGCAAATAGCAAGTGTCACAGTTAGTCTTCAAAAACAAATGTCCATTCTCCAAATGGACATCAGAGCAGCCCTGAGAGTGTCTTCAGCAAATCAAGTAGTAACCAAAGACTACTTGAAGGTAATCATTGACAATCAGAAGGAAGCACACAAACTATTCAGACTTCTTACCACAAATTCTGGAAATCGCAAGATGGAAGTGGTTCTTCAACAACACAGTCCATCCTTGATTCCAGAGCTCCCTGTTGCAGTCAAAGAAGGAGAAGTCTCTTACATTCCTACGCATCTAAACTTGACTGATCTAGTCCTTGAACCTCAGAGAAGTAATCCGGAAAACTCAACACAACGCCTATCCAGCTCAGGATTGGATGAAACAGAGGCTGTAGGAACAATTGCTGCTCACTTCTCAAACTTCTCAAATGATAACCAAACAGAGGAAAGACGCAACAACATAAGGCGCATCAAAGAACTATGTGGAAACATGCAAGGCATCAAGGAGATTGCCGAATCTTCAAAGCGCAAGAAGCACTAAAGGTTTTTTTCATCAAACCAGGGGGAAAGTATGTGAAAACATTAATTTGCTTTGATGAAAACACCTTCTTGTTTAAACATTGCTTTATTGGTTTGGTTTAAACATTGCCTTAATATTTCTCTTAATTGTGCTTACTATGCTTGATTATACCTAACTCAAGTATGATTTTGAGATTTATTCCTAGCGCATAAATTCAGGGGGAACTTAACTAGTTTTTGGCTAACAATTGTTTTTGGCAATGAATTATTGATGAGCTCTAAGCAATGGAAGACGGATATCTCAGTTTTGGTACTAAAATTGGAAATCTCCGATTCAGGTACTTTACAAAATCTGCCTTCTTAAACTAAGCTTCAGTCCTTAATTCATTTCCAACAAGCTCTAAAAGTACTGGTCCTTAGGATTTTTAAATGTACAAGACTTTGGAAAAATAGTACACTTTTCTTTTAAAAATAAAACTAATATTTGTTTTGGTACTACCTCGTCCTAAGTAGAAATTAGAACTATAGGGAATGAAAAATGATAGTTTTATTTTGGG